AGTGAATCCACACTGTATAAATGTTCTGGACCTCATCATTAAGGAAAAAAGAGAACACATTGCAGATATGAACAAAAGTCATATTTGGGAAAATATATTACCACTTCATTCAAAGCTTATAAAACTCTGGCTGAAAAAGGCTTTGCAATACTGGAAGGCAGTATTGCATACATGCTTTGTAATACTGGGAGATTGTAATTATTTTAAGATACTGGAGTTCAACTGCTAGAATTCCTCAGCCTCCAGTTGAAGTTCACACATTCTAAAGTTGGTGAGGTTGAGTAATCCTAATTGAAAAGAAGGACTTCCACTGCAATGTAGTTGGATATATTTGAATTTACTTTAATTTACTTTAACAAAGGAAATTTGTTAAAGTAAAACTTTAAGTTTAACTTAAACTTTGTTACATAAACAAAGTCTTCCTTCCACTTCTGAGAATGCAAATTAATCACTGCAAGTGTATCTGCCCATTAATTTAATAATGTTTCAATCATAGCTGGATTGAAACAAAGGGATTGATGGTTAAGAGCAAGATTCAGTCAGGGTTGGGATTATTTCTGTTTGTCCATGTTTTCTCCTTATTGGACCTTTGGCTACTCCCTTCCTCATGTCCCATAAAACTTTGCGGAAACTGCATTGATAATGATGCTGGAATGCTTATTTTAAAGTACTGTGATTGATTTTGTTTGTTTGTTTTAAGGAAAAAACACTATTTTATTAATGAATATTATTTGTGGTTCTTGTTGTATATGAATGTATATGAATGCTGTTTCTGTTTATAGTTTGTTTTGTTGTTTTTTCATCTATATGAAGTGAGGAAACAGCATACCATGAATACTCAGATATACTTGCTAATGCTAGCATCAACTTTTCAGTTTTAGGGAGTGTTTTTCATTATATGTAGAGAAATATGATAATAAACTTGGAACTACTTACATGTGCTATAGCTTGGTGTTTCCTCACCTTACCAACATTAAGATGTATGGACATCAATACCCAGAATTCCTCAGTCTGCATGCTGGCTGAGGAATTCTGGGAATTGTAGTCCACACATCTTGAAGTTGATAAAGTTGAAAAACACTGAGCTGTTCTATAGTATTAACTTTGGATGCAACAGTTCTGACCCATCTGCTTTGTTTCAAGTGTTATTATCAAATCTGCTCTTTTTATTCTTCCTCTTTCTTTCAAAAAGGCCATCAACTTTCAAAATATACACAGTGGCACAGTTTTTTAATCATTGTCTACCAGTGCAAGTTTGCTAGTTAAATTATTGCTAAGTATTAGTCAAACATTTAGCACAATTTAAAACTGCAATGTTAAATTTCATTTGTTGGCCTTTTTATTAGATAAGCTAGAAATGAAAGCAGCATGGAATTTAATTGGCAGTATTTTTTTCTGGTTAAGTCATTACTTTGATGAACTTCAGAGCAATGTTTATGGCTCCTAATTAACCATGATAGTCATTTGATTGAATAATCACTTTGGAAATGTTTCTAAAATTTGATTAGAGCTTGACCCATTCTGATAGTCATAAATTAACCAACAGCACTTTTAGAATCATAAGGCTTTAGGTCTTTGGAAAAAAAAACATCAAAACAGGAGAGTCTTCTTTTCAAATCTTAGTGTAGTGTTTAATCATATGACTATGTTAAATGCAAAGTGATGGATAGCATGAAGACTGCTAACCTGTCAATTGCAATATTAAAAATTGAAACATTTGGACTACAGGTTCCATCATCAATAATCAGATTGCTCGTTGCCCATGCAGGTAGTTTTCAACATGATCACAACTGGGATCTGAACTTCTGTCACTAAATGAGACAGTCATGCTCTGCTTTGTGACCTTTTTTGACACTGTCATTAAGTGAATTTGGCTTTCCCATTGACTTTGGTATCGGAAGCTGTATAGGAAGATTGCAAATGGAGATGATGTCACCCTGGGATGCTGTTGTAAATGCACCCCAGTGGTCATTTTGAATCACATGATTGTGGAAATGCTGCAATGGTAGTAAGTATAAAAAAGGGCATAGCTCGCTTTTTTCAATTCCATCACAATTTCAAATGATTACTAAAGGAATGGTCATAAGTTGAGGACCACCTGTACAGACTGTGCTTTCAAAAAGAAGACATTGAAAAGGGGAGGAGAATGGAGATGTACCCTGTGCATTTAGATACTTTTTTATATCAAAGGTATTGCTAAAGATGTGCAGATATGATCAAAAACTCTATATATTATATGTTCTTGGTGCCTTACAAAGCCTTCACACTACAGAGATTTAACACATGGTCATTTCCATTCAAGAAACAAATGGATCCAAGACAGAAACAGTGATTAGAGCTTCTATGAAGTCTTGATTCAGTGATACATAGTACAATTTATTCTATAGGTTTTTTTAAAAAATCTCAGTATGATTATTCTGCCCCTTTCTTTCTTTTTTCTTGGCCATACTGTGATGCTTAACACCTTCTGGTAAAAATATGGATTGCATACCAGGATATGGAATCAGGATCTGACTTGACAAATAGAGGTGGGGAAGGCACTCTGGTGCTTTAACACTTCTCTCCATTATCCTGCTTACATATTTTATAATGCAACTAATCTTGTGCTACATGCAAAGCTACAAATTCTTGAGTAATATGAGATTATAGCAAGAGCAAACATTCTATATTATGCTGTTAATGTTGATATGAAGTTACATGTTCCATTCTTCTAGTAGTATCTACTATTAGTTTGAAGTTTGAGGTGGGAAACACAACCCCAAAAGCTATCATAACACAGGTAAGTTTGCTTAAATGTTACAGGGATGGAAGAAAGAATTGCTGTTGTTAATGGGAGGACTGATTGCATTTAGTATTGCACCATTAGTATTTTTAACTAATTTTAAAAAAATCTTTTAAGTATCGCAAGTCTAATGTAACAGATATAGTTCATAGTAAAAAAAGAATAAAGATATGTGGAATAAGGAAACGGATAGATGCTCTTATTCTTATCAGTGGCTACACTCACTTAGTGAATTTGATGTAAAATCTCATTTTCTTTTCCCTCTAACTCCTTGATACGTATCACTAGTCAGTGAGCAGTGAAATTGGGGATTGCATTTTGGAAAAGGACTGCACACCACACTGAGTAAATTACTTTTGGTCCTTTTGCTATTTATTGTTGTTTTTTAATTCTTCAGAGTTAATTTAAGAAAAAATGTGATAGTATAGCAAACTACATTTTACTTGTCAGAATGTTAAGATTAAAATTCTAGAATAATACATGTGAAGAGTTTGCTATGAAATTGAAACTTAAGAATAAAATTCATATACTTCAGAAAAGCTGCAAGTATTGTGCACAAAATATATATTGAAACTGCTGGCCTAGAAATCAGGAGACTGTGAGTTCTAATCCTGCCTTAGGCATGAAAACTAGCTGGCTGACTTTGGGCATCATTTTCTCTCTTAGCCCAATCCATTTCATAGGGTTGTTGTCAGGAAAATAGGAGAAAGGATCATTAAGTGTGTTCTCTGCCTTGAATTACTTATAAAATAATTAAAGATTTATTTGATAAAAATCTAATAAGTAGATAATTAAAAGTTATGTCAATAGGGAGACAAACTGCAATCTTGAGTTAACTTAAAAATAAATCTTATATTCCAAATTTCTTGGAATATTTGGGGACTAGCTGAAATTAAATAATAGGAAGGCATCTGGCTTCGAAGTGTAAATTCCCAACGTCCACATTATATGTTAAATGGGGAAACTATATAAATTTTATAAATAAATAATAAATATATGGCAATTGTATTAATTTTACTATAATGTCTCTGATATTTTGATGAGAAGCTACTGATCGTATCACTTCTGGTTTTTTTGTTTGTTTTTATGAAGAATAAAATGGATTTAATGTTAGTACATGAACAATCAATTAGTACATGAACAACTGATATGAATATCACTTCCACTACCAATTACCTATTTCACATTTAAATCACCAAACAACAGCAATAAAAAGCTCCAAGAAAGAAGAGGGTGTGGAAAAACCTTGGCAAGGTAGACATAGTTTTTCCTTATCTCCACTTCTATTAGAGCAAACAAATACAAGGAAAATGCTTGGTGTTTGAACAAAAGTTCAAAACTGTATTTATCAAGTTTTAACCTAACTTTCCCAATGCAATAATACTCAGAGTATTAAATGTGTTTGAGAACTCCATTATGTATTCTGGTTATATTGATTGAACATCAGAATAAAATAATGCAAACTTACACATAAGTCTGATGTTTCATTGAGGTTTGATGGAGTGGCTGATTATATTAGATGATTGGTTTTAATATCAGTAAAAATGCTTGCAAATGGTTCAATTGGAAAAATTAAATATTTGTAGACTTTTGTAGTGAATATGCTTTCTTTCCATCAAAATACTATCCTCAAAATCAGTTGATAAAGTATCAGGATATCTAAATGACTGGAAACCTAAGAAAACATGGAATGATTTGAATTTTAGAATTTGGTTGTAACTAGATAACCAATGACCTGTTGAGCCATCCTTTCAAATATATTTCTTTATCTAAACACAATGCAAATCCAAATCACTCATCTGTCTCCCACCTATGCAATCTTCCCATTTTTCCTGAATGATTTGTGGGACAGTCTTAGGAAAGTTGTAAATGAAGATCACTTGAGTATGGCAGTGTGGCGGTGGTGCTGAACAGCAGCAGTACAGTAGCACTGAAATGGCAAAAACTTTCTAAAACCTTCTTCCCTTATGAGTAATGGATCCCAGCATTCTGCAAGTTAATTCATTTGAGATACATCGTCCCCCATGATGCACAAATTTGCCCAGTTAAGGGTTAAATACACAGGAGCTTTACTAGGATATAGATTCTAAATGGAACCAAGCTCTAGCGATACCTTAACAATTCTGTTCAAATCTGTCTGGCAACATTATTTTCGTGTTTGTCATGTGCACAATCTCAATCAAACAATCCTCTGACTAATATTGCCTTCTCATTTCAGAAGTGCCTAGTTGCCATTCCATTTACATGAGGCAAGAAGGCTTCCTCACTCACCCAAACAGAACAGAAGTTAAGTCTCTCTGTATATGCCCTTGTATGTATGCATGAACTTTGCTTTCTTCTTGTCTAAAAGAAAGATTTTAGCTTAGAAAAATATGCTAAAAATGGACAGAATTAGAAAAATATTGTAAAACTGTGGTGCCTGTTCCTGAAACACAAGCTTTCTTAGAGAGACACTTATTTGTTTTTCTAAATAGACAATGTAAGCTCTGGAAGACATGCCAGTGTTTTGGTGGTTTTAATTCTTTACTTCATCTTTCATCAAGCATATTCTAACTAGTTTATGGGACAATTCTAGTTACTACAGTAGAAATTGAAATCTTTAAGACAGAAAGTAGCATGGCAATCTACAATTTATTCTTCGGGTTTATTTTGAACATATTGTGCATTGCCTAGTTACCTATGTTGTACTTCATGATAGATACTGTATACTTTTATAAAAGTAAAGAACATAGAAAAGGGAAAAAGTGTTTTTATAAAACACTAGATTTTTATAAATCTAGCAACAGTGATGCTAACAAGGCTAGTCAATAAAATTCATGACAAGAAAAAAATTGTTCACACTTGTTTTAACTCCTCATAAATTCATTTAATTGTGAATTAATTGTGACTTAAATAGTTTCTAAATGTTTTAGAGAACTAATTTATCTATTATAATAACTTCTTTCCTTGACCAGAATTTATTTGAAATCACTATTCTTTGCTTCTAAATAACAAAATAAAGCTTGTAAGATTAAATTTAGGAAAAGGGAGAATGGATAATTCTAATCCTTGACTTGACAATACTTTGTACTACTAGTAACTATAAAATAAATAAAATAAACTAGAGCTATGCTATCACCATCAGCGTATTTTTTTATCTCACTATTAATTAACTGTATTCCTTGGGCCTCCTTTCAAGGCAAGACATTTTCATGTGTGTGAAGAAACAGCTGATATGTGAAGCTTTTCAATGTTTTCATGTGACTTGGAAAAACCACAATTGTATCTATATATGCCAACATAGTAATTTGGGGGATTCATATTTTATTCCCTCAGCAGATTGTTCTACTGCTAAGTAATATTCTAACCTGTAACATTCTAATCAGCCTGGCACATAAAGTATATGTATCTTGACCTTTAGCTGTAGCATTTACTTGGGATTTTTTCAGTTTTGAATTCCAATTTTCAAAATTCCTCATGTTTTCTAGATAAGAACTCTGAAATTTTGAACACATTGAAGGAGACCAGGTTGGGAAGGACAATGCATTTTAATAATCTGTTTCAAGTGAATAATGTGTCTGCTTTTCATTAAATTACAGGTTGTATGTATGAAAAAGGACCAAGACAATTTTATGATGACACTTGTGTTGTTCCAGAGAAATTTGATGGTATGTTATGGGCATACATTTATTTGTTCATCTATTCAGGCTTACTTATGGATAATAATAATAATAATAATAATAATAATAATAATAATAATAATAATAATAATAATAATAATAATAATAATAATAATAATAATAATAATAAAAAGTTGGAAGGGACCTTAGAGGTCATCGAGTCCAACCCCCTGCTCAGGCAGGAACCCTACACCATTTCAGACAAATGGCTGTCCAGTCTCTTCTTAAAAATTTCAGTGTTGGAGCATTCACTTCTGGAGGCAGGTTGTTCCATTGGTTAATTGTTCTAACTGTCAGGAAGATTCTCCTTAGTTCTAAATTGCTTCTCTCCTTGATCAGTTTCCACCCGTTGCTTCTCGTCCTGCCTTCAGGCGCCTTGGAGAATAGCTTGACTCCCTCTTCTTTGTGGCAGCCCCTGAGATATTGGAACACTGCTATCATGTCCTCCCTCGTCCTTCTCTTCATTAAACTAGACATACCCAATTCCAGCAACCGTTCCTTATATGTTTTAGCCTCCAGTCCCCTAATCATCTTTGTTGCTCTTCTCTGTACTATTTCTAGAGTCTCAGCATCTTTTTTACATCGTGGTGACCAAAACTGGATGCAGTATTCCAAGTGTGGCCTTACCAAGGCATTGTAAAGTGGTATTAATACTTCATGTGATCTTGATTCTATCCCTCTGTTTTTTTTTTTTTAAAGAAATTTTATTTATTTTTTCAATCATAAAAAAACAATCATAAGTAAACACAATGACAATAACCCCCCACCCCCTATACTATACCTGTAGGGATTCTATCCCTCTGTTAATGCAGCCTAGCACTGTGTTGGCTTTTTTGGCAGCTGCAGCACACTGCTGGCTCATATTTAAGTGATTGTCCACTAGGACTCCGAGATCCGTCTCACAGTTACTACTATTGAGCAAGGTACCCCCTATACTATACCTGTACATTTGGTTTTTCTTTTCTTGGAGTTCTAAGTAATGAAATCAAAAGAGAACAAAGAAAAGAGAGATAAATATATAATTTGTTATTTGTTTGGTTGACCTTTGCTTTTAGAAATCAAAATATATTTTGCAATCATATTGCTCTGTCTTGAAAGCAAAAATTCTAAATTCAGAACCAGGGCAATCTATTTACTTCTAATTATTCCAAGGAGTCATAGGTAGACTTCAAATGCATTGATAATGACATAAAACCTGTTATTAGAGATTTTTTGAAAACTGATCTCATAATTAACAAGCAGAACAGAAAGCAGCTACTCTGGGTTTACTAATAATCCAACCTCTTATCTTATTTTTCTGTCCCTAAAGAGATGAATTATAGTTCACAAGTACATCTGGTTTTCTATGTGTATCAACAGTTTTGTTGATTGTTATAATCTCTTGTATTTCTTGAAACTGATGCCCAAAGAGTAGAGTATATAATACCACAAACTGTCTTTAAAATAATTTTTAAGATAGCTAACTAACATCACATGTCGAATGAAGCAAAGCATATTCCTCTCATTATCAAATATCAAACCCAGCATGTATTCTGAAGGGAAATTACAAATGTTTTTTGTAGCCAAAGGAATGTGAATGGGTATTTCATTGTGTTTCTCTTCAGCACTGGGGAAAGCTGCTTTGCAAAACAGACAACTAAGTGATTTATGTGTGGAATTGATGCTTGTATCCATACTAATATAGAAACTTTAAAAAACTAGAGGGATAGTTATGATAGCCAAAAAAAAGGAAACATAGGAATTGTAATGGTTCTTTCTAGCTTTGCAATTTTTTAAAGTATATTCAGTAAACATTCTTCAGCTGTAAGCTGTAAGAAGTGATTGAAGCACTTCTTTCATATGTGTTTTGCATGTGACGCAAGTAAACACTTGATACTGTTTTGATCAAACCACTATCTTCACTTTCCCCTTTCCTTCAAAAGATGTTCCTGGAAGCAGTATTATATACTTAATAATCCAATTTTCAGCCTTAAATTCAGAGGGCTTAGCCTTAAATTTATTCAGAGGCTTATTTAATAACATTGACTCATTCAATTTTCATAGATAATGAAATAAAAGTTGTCTAAACTTTTCATCTGTATGGTGGTGAGGAATCTACTATTAACAAACTAAATTAAATGCAGAACTAATTGAATTGTTATATGATGCAGTTTTTTTTAAAAAAAATCATTCATCAGTATGAGAAATTCTGCATTTAAAAATAATTGTACTCATAGGGTGAACAAAAATAACAATTTCATTTATGAATGTTTAGCTGATAATTATATTTTTATTCAGTAATATTATTTTAAAAATAATGTGTTTGGCATTTTATTTGTTCTGGTGGGAAAAATATAACATGTTAAATTATTTTTAAGTTTTAATGTACATATGTATACTTTCTCAACTGATAGTACTTTTCAGAAGAATTATGAATGCATAGCCAAGCCATGTGAAATATGAATTTACATTATAAGCATGTCTAATATACCAAAAAGGAACTGACTGATCCATAAAATTTGAATATCTATAGAATAAAATCCTATTAAATCTTATTCAAATACTGTTAAATTTTTTCATATTAGAATTTGAAAGCAAGAGCAAAAGATATATACTCTGTTTGTATCTAAGGAGAGATTGTATCATGTATTGCATACAGTCCTTCAGATATCACTGTTTCCAAAGCTGGATCTTGCATAGCATTTGATAACCACTTTCATACTGTATGAACTGACTCTGGAATAAGTAAGTAACATTGTATTTTAATAAATTTGTAACTAGCTATTTTCTGAAGAATTATAGTGCACTACATTGTCTCAAAGTCACTAATAGTATCCTGTATATCATTCCCTTCTCTCTTCTCTCTTGCTACAATAGCATTTCTTCTTTTTTCTTTGTTGGTATTAAATTTACTCCAATGAACTGAAATAAAGTAATCCACATTTTCTTTTGAATAGGTGATATCAAGCAGGAGCCAGGAATGTATCGTGAGGGACCAACATACCAGCGACGTGGTTCCCTTCAGCTGTGGCAGTTTTTGGTAGCTCTTCTCGATGATCCATCAAACTCTCATTTCATTGCTTGGACTGGTCGAGGTATGGAGTTCAAGCTGATTGAACCAGAAGAGGTGAGTAGATCTTGTATTGTATCTTTGTACTTTAAAACATTGCTTCAGTACTTTTTCTTCTTTCTTTCTGTATTTTCTTCATAAAACTCAAAAGTAATATGGTCTTATGCATAATGACCCTTCAAAGCCCTTAAATATTTATGATTCTGTACATGTGTACAGAGCTTGCAAGAATTGACTGCATTGGACTTGATTCGCATGTTGCTGCCCATTCTCAGCCCAACAGCATTAAGATTGATTATAACAAAGGAAGAGAGATCACTGTGTACCTCACATTGAGCTATTGGAAGAAAAGTAGAATATAAATCCAATAAATAACCATTCCCTTTGTACACATTTATACCCAACACCTTACCTAAGATTTCATTCACACAATTTTAAGCATGTTATTGTCTTGAAATTTACTTTCTAAAGAATCTAATTCTACCACAGCTCTTACTATCTGAATTGGGCCTATGTACATTCTCTTTTAGCCTCCCTTTCTGTCTTTATATCCATTTTCATGTGATCTGTGATTCTTCGAACCTTCAGAGATCATAAAACATAAACCCTTTCATATCCCATGTGTGGATTTTCAGATTCTATCATATTGAAAGGATAAAATCCCAAATCTCCACACAGACACAGAAAAACTATTTTACTTAAAATCTACTTTTATCCCAAAAGAGAGAATAGAAGAATTCTAGAAAGGGCTAGAGTTGCTGCTTGAACTTCAGATGAGTATCGGTGTGTTTGGAAGAAGCTTTAAAATTATGATTCTGAATAGTATGATCTGAAGTTAAGTTTGGGAAAATGATGAAAAGATACTTAATGGAAACCAAAATAGATAAACAGTGAAAACTGATCAGTTTCTGTGAGCCCGAATGCCTACTACTAGGCAAAAGAGAATATGAAGGAATGAAATTATGTAATTAGGAAGAGTATTTAGCTTTGAAATAATAGGGAATGTTTATAGCTTGGGTTTTAGATTTTGACTGTGGTTTGTTCTCTAAGCTTTGTTCTCCAGGAGATTGCCAAATTGTCCATCTAAATAGGACATCCCAGAAATATGCTGATCTTGATTCAGTTGCATCCCAACATAACATCAATATACAGTGCATTAGAAAAACTTTTGTTAATTTTTAAAAAAATACTTAGCAAACATTTTTCTTTGAAAAATATAGCTAATTTTTTAATTTCATTTTTGTTTTCATCAGTTTTTCTTTTCAATTATATGTTTATATGATGTCTACATTTTGAAAAACTGCATTTATTTGCATATTATTTATTGTGATTTAGTTTGTTTGAACAATTCATGATATTCAAACATAAATTTATATGGCCATCTCTCTCTCTCTCAGACAAAAAAGTGACTTTGAAAGGCCACAAGGGTTAAAAACAATTTACTAAATCAACTAAATGCCCAAATCTACAATTACACAGCCAGCTCATGTCCTATTGTGCTGCAGATTCGACAGGGACATTAGATCAATGTGCGTTCTCCCTCTATTAGAGAGATTTCTAGGGAGATCAGATAATTTCTACGTGAACCATCTCCTTCAGGATTCAAATTTAGCCACCACTCATGTAGTAGCAAAGATTTGTGCTGTTGCAATGATAATAAGGGGGAAAAACACTTAAAGAACTAAAGATCTTTATTCATATTACTACTTTGTTTAATTATTTTCTAATATTTTTTAGAGAATGTATTTATTTTAATGTTTTTGTACTAGTCTGTGACCATAATAAAGATTGATTCTGATTCTGATTTATCAGAATCAAAAAGCTCAAAAAGACAACATTAGTTGGCACAAGCTCACTTAACCATCCAGTCCAAATGACTCGGAGAACAGCAAGGCTTTTAATGAAAAGAACCTGTAGCATGTCCTCCTTGCTAGATCTGGTGTGGCAAGTATAGATAACAGTTGACATGCAGTTTTATACATCACCTATGCCACATAGGGCTTTGTTGATGACCTACCCTGAATTGCATCTGAAACCCTATTGTGAGGTAGTGTTACTCATAAAATAGAGGTTTTATACTAATATATAATGCTGCATAACACAATGCAATATAATATTACTACATTACATGACAGGAAATGCACCATTGCTTCTGTACCTTCCAATGCAGAGTTAAAGAGGGATCAGTTAAAGGCCAGTTTTATCAAATTTATAAAACAAATTTTATAAAATGTAACAGATGGGTTCAAATCTCTCTTGGTGACAGGTGGCACGTCGCTGGGGGATTCAAAAAAACAGGCCAGCCATGAACTATGATAAACTTAGCCGTTCACTTCGCTATTATTATGAAAAGGGAATCATGCAAAAGGTGAGAAATTTATACTTTTTTTTGTATTGCAATGAAATATTACATGTTAATTTATAAACTGGTTTAAAAAACCAAGTATTTCTAAACTGCATTCTCCAGTATGAGCAATATAAGAAAGTGCATTAAATGTCTAAATTTTAATTCCTTATGAAACCTTCTCCCCAGCCCATTATTTCAAAATTTATGACTTACAATTTGAACCTTGATGTAAATTGAAAGTTTTATTAAGGTTTTGGTAAACTTTGTAAAATCTTTCACATCATTAAGAGATTGGCTTCCTAATGCCTCTGTTCATTTTTTTCTCCTTCACATACTCTCTTGTCAGGGAAAAAGCAACCCTTTTGCACAGTATGTTTTTAATTTCCTTCAAAACCTTTTAAGGAGGCAAGACTCAAATGTGAGGCAGAGTACAGTAGTTTCTTTAAAAAAATTCAGAAATTAAATAGAAAACTACTATCCTTGATTATAAAAAATCTCTCTCTCTCTCTCTCTTTGTGTGTACATGCACATACATACACATATGATTAATTGTAATTATAATGGTTCAAATTTATTTTCTGTCTTTTGACACTGCAGCTGTTTTTATGATTGAAGCTATGCATGTCATTCTTATCCTATCACTTTATTTTCATAATAATTTGCTTAATTTATACATTTGCTTAATTTAATATTAATTAATGTAAATTTGAATTATAAAATTGATAAATCAATAAATAAAAGGTTAAGACTGCTGAGAGAGGGATTAGGAGATTTCATATGTTGCCGGATAATAGTGGCCAGAATCCTTATTCATTAGCTGTACTACTTGGGGCTACTAGACAATGTAGTTCTGTAATATTTGAAGGTCTCTACATTGAGATGAAGATATACACTGATTGGCATAAGATTATTCAATTTCAGTGGCTTGCTGGAGACTTCAGTTTGTTTCCTCAACTTAATCCAGTACTTACACCAAGAATCAGAATAGAAGTGTATTCAATATCAGTATATCTATTATTTTCCTTAATTAAAACATAATTGTGCTGCCTTTTTAAATCCAACCTTACTCATTTGTTTTAAATATTCGCTGTAAAAATTAATTAATCAAAACACGAATAGGTATTTGCTCAGAGGAGAAAATAAAATCAAAATCTGATGAAAGCAGTATTTCATTAGGCCATTAGTACATTTGTAAATTAACAGATTTTAAGCTTCCAAGAATGCTTTATCAGATAAAAAAAATATATTTTCTCTAAAACTGAAGGGTCTGTGAAAAGGAAAATATATGGTTGATGCTAATCAAGTTAGCATCAGATTGATATCTCTGCTGGTTGAAGTTGCAAGAAGACATGCAAAACAGACCTTATAATGAAAAAAACAAACCATGTTGTGTTCTTCCAAGAACTTTTCCCAAAATTATAGTGATGAAAAAGAGACTGTCATTGAATGATACGCAAACTTCCTGTTACACTTTCTTTGTGAAAAGTAGCCATAATAAAATGCACTAAGAGTGATAACATTTCTGCCATTTTGCTGAAGGCAGAATAAAAAAACGGTGGGATTCAAAAGCCATCAGCTTTTTTATACTTGTCTCAAATGACCATAGCCTCTCCTTTCTGAGCTCTTGTGGAAATAACATCTTGATGGAGTCCATTATCAACTTACTTTCTTGAAGATGAATGTTTTTCTGATCAAGTTTAGTCACCCTCCACATCAAAAAAGCCTGATGTTGTATAAATACTCAAAGCTTCCAATACACTTTTCATCCATCATAAAATAAAAACTGAAAACCAACCCTATTTGGCCTAAACAGCCAGGAACAACTAATACAGCATCAGTTGATGTGATACAGTCTAACTTCAATTGCTTCAAGCTCAAGAATGGCTCTTCAATGGCTCAAGAAAAGAATTGGAACATATATATGACTCAATATATATATATATATATATATATTGGAAACTAATAAGACTGTCCTTGGCCTGTCTAATCTTGTGGGCACTTGTCTGGCACTTGTCTCCTCCTTTGTCCCTCTTCTTTTCCTGCATTTGGGACAGCAGAAGCTTATTAACAATGAGTCATAGGTTTGGATTGCTCAATATATTTTTCATATTACAACAGTAATGTAATTCAAAAGAATTCCTTATGTTGGGATTATTTTTTAAATTGTGTTCCATGAACCCTACTGGTTTTTTTTATTTTTTACAAAATGTTGGTAGAGTTCCATGACAGACTAAGAACAAAAGAAAAAGTTCACTCAGACTCACCCAATTTTTCTATCACTAGAATTTGCCTCTTATCAATAGTTCTAGGATATTTTTAAAATGAAGGTTCTGCAGCCTGAAAAAGTTTGAAAATCCCTATTCAGTGTGATTACTTCTTTAAAATAGTTTTAATCTTCCAGTGTCATTCATTGTCATCTAGTTTTTGCCCCATTTTTCTTGTGCATCTTATTTTCTGTGTTCCTGATGCACAAAATAATTTTTGATACCCATATATGGCTGCAAAAGAAAATTGTACTTCTATCTCTTACAGCCTTTCTCTTTTCCACCCTTCTCCTTCTTTAACATTGCTCCTAAGGTTGCTGGAGAGAGATACGTGTACAAGTTTGTTTGTGACCCTGAAGCCCTCTTCTCCATGGCCTTTCCGGATAACCAGCGTCCCTTGCTGAAAACTGACGTCGAACGTCATATCAATGAAGAGGACACTGTCCCTCTGTCCCACTTTGATGAGAGTATGGTCTATATGCAAGAAGGAGGCTGCTGTAATACCCACCCTTATAATGAAGGCTATGTATATTAATTGGAGTGACAGTAATGAAGCCCCTTTTTCATCCTAAGCTTCTCTTCTTTAATGAGACCAAGACAAAAGCTGAATTCCCTTCAGTTGGTTTATAAGAATAAGAATTAAAAACTGTAAAAGAATAAAATAGTACTATAAAGGGGTTTCTTCTGTTGTATTACTCCTGTAGTCTGACATGGACAGTGCACTTTATTTGAAAAGGGAAGTTTAGAATCTAATTGTTTATTCTTTGCAACAAGATGACAAGGGTGGACAATACAGGTTTTAAGTACAACAAAGCTGTATTATGTCCAAGTTTGATTCTGTTTCTTACTTGGTTAAAAATAATGTACATGTTCTCTAAGTACCTATAGTACAGTTAATTCTAGACATGACCAATAACCATTTATACACTATTTGGAGAATTATCTGTCATGGACACTCTCCCCTCTTTCCCATTTTCACTACAGTCTAGACATTTTTCCTATCTTTTTTTAATTGTTAGACATTATTTACCCCTTACAAAGCCTGGACTACTGCAATGCTCTCTACATGGGGCTCCCCTTGAGGAGCACCCGGAGGCTCCAGCTAGTCCAAAATGCGGCCGCGCGGGCGGTGTTGGGAGAGACTCGTCGCTCCCATGTAACACCGCTGCTGTGCGAGCTGCATTGGCTGCCGGTGGCCTTCCGGGTGCGCTTCAAGGTGCTGACCATCATCTTTAAAGCGCTCCATGGCATCGGACCCGGATATCTCCGAGACCGCCTTCTGCCGCAGATTACCCCCCATCGACCTGTACGCTCCCACAGAGTGGGTCTCCTCAGGGTACCGTCGGCCAGACAGTGCCGGCTGGCGACCCCAAGGGGGAGGGCCTTCTCTGTGGGAGCTCCCACCCTCTGGAATGAACTACCCCCAGAGATCAGGGTGATCCCTGATCTCCC